GGGCAGGTGAGAGGGTCATGGTCATCGTGGTGGAGCTCATCATGCGGGCAGGTGAGAGGGTCATCGTCATCGTGGTGGAGCTCATCATGCGGGCAGGTGAGAGGGTCATCGTCATCGTGGTGGAGCTCATCATGTGAGCAGGTATGGACTGTGGACAGTAGCTCAGCTCTTTCTAACATTATGGTTTGACTGCTTGTCAATTAATATTTGCCCAATTCCCCCTTTGGTTTCTCCTGATCATCTGACCCCCCCCCCCCTTCCCAGGTGTCATAGCTCTTTTCTGCCGTCAGTATGACATCATCAAAGACAATGAGCCCAACAACAACAAGGACAAGGCCAAGAGTTCATCAGAGTGCAGTACTCCGGAGCACCAGACAGGGGGGCTGTTGCGCAGTAAGGTATAACCAGTGAGCTCTGCTGTCCATACCCCCTCTATCTATCTGCCACCTGTGTCCTCTTTTAAAACGCTGCTTTCTGATTGGCTGAGCTCATCATAATTTGCATAGGGACCCCAGCACCCGCTCAGCTGTCTCTGCTGTTTGCCTCCACAGTTCCCCAAAAACAGAAAACCCTCAGTGAACATCATTCAGGTGTAACAGAGGACCAGCCTTCCAGGAGAAACCATTGGTCCAAGACTCAATGAAATGCAGGTGTCGCTCAGAATTCTGGGAACTACTGGTCAACCTAACAGCGCCCCCTTAAGGACAGTGAAGGGTTTAAAAAGGGAACTTCCTGCAGAAATCTCACTCCCCTTCGGCCCCTGCTTTGAATGCTACAGGAGGCGGCAATAAATAGCAGTGCTGCTGATTGGCTGTGGGTTGGGAAAGGAGGATATGTGTAGCATGATCTGACCTCCAAAGAGGAAGCACTCTGGTATGACACGCACAGCGGGATCTGAAGAGTTAGTGCAATCTACTCACCTCTTTAGGCCTCTTGTACCCACTCAGGAGAGGTCTGACCCACAAGAGGGGGCTGTGGTGTCCTGGGGGGGGGAGGGGGCAATACAACCCCCCCCCCCCCCAGTCAACTCTTTCCTAGCATGAACCTGCAAAGAGATGTGAACATGGGTGGGGCAGATACAGTAGTGTAGCAGGTTTGAGTCAGCAGGCTCTCCCCCTACTTTCTGAGATGGATGTGATGGAGGAAGTTCCCATGGACACAGTTGCCAAGGTGACCCTTTGTGCAGTTATGACCATTGTTGACTGTTTGCCCTCCATCCTATCACCTTTATCCCTGCCCCACCCACCACACAAGAGCTCCTGAAGGTCAAACAGTAGCCTCCTTGTATGGGGTGTCAGAGATGCTGTGTTTGGGGGGGCAGGAGGCACCTTGAAACTCGAAGGGACCTGCAGGTCGATGGAGCCCGGGATGGACACCCTGACACATTAGCAATGTCCCCGGCTGAGAAAGGCTCTGTGTTCCCGACGTGCCCTGTTATTGAGCTGAGGGCCTGTGTTCACACTGACACATCAGGCCACAAGCTGTGGTGTGGGCGTCTGAGGGCATGTCTTTCACCATCACACATCCCACACCATCCCTTCCGAGTGCGGTGTCACCCAGCCTTCCCCGCCATGTACTGTGGTCTCGTCACGGGAACCCCTCCATGCGCAAGAGTCCTGCAGGAAGGAGGGTGGAAAGGGAGACAGAGAGTGAAAGAGAAAGCTGAAGGGAGGGAAAGGAGGAGGGAGAAGGAGAGAGCAAAAGACAGACAAAGTGCGGAGTATCTGACCAGGGGTCTAAGTGCTGCGGCTGTAATCTCCAGGGGGAGGGTGAACCTTCTTAATGTGTCCCCCATAAACATGGTTGGAGATTTACAAAGATGCCCTACCTCTAGGACCTCGAGTCACTGGGCTCCAGAACCTCTGGAGAGCGAGCAGACACAGAGGAACATGCCCTGAGGAGAACATGCCCTGAGGAGCACTGGAGCTGCAGGGAATTCTGAAAGAGCCAGCAGACACAGCGGACTGGCGCATTTATGCACTTCTGCACAGCCAGGCCAACAGACGTTGAATGAAGGGTCCCAGCAGAGCACAGGCGGCACCCCCAACAAGACAGCAGGGCACCAGTCATGCTGGGGGGGTCACGGGACATATCAGGAAGATGCACGGCTGACGGCCATAAGTGTTATACTTAGCGTGCTAAACGCGTTACAGTGATAGTAGCTTGGCCAGGGTTAGCATGGTGCTATCATTAGACACAAACAGCTTCTACCAAGGCTGTACAGTTAGAACTGCATATTAGAAACAAATCTAAATAAACCTTGGAAATGCCTCTAGAGAGATGTGTGCACTCTTTTGCTACACACAGCCCCACCTGTACCACACCCAGAAACGTGGGGGGGGGGATCTGGCTCATACACATACAGGATTCCACATCACCCTCATTCTAAACACTGCTGGAACGTGGTGTGTGAGCTATACTGAGACTTTGTGTTACTTGTTCCATTGTTTCTGCACTTACACACTAAAGTACTTGGCAGGTATGTTCATGCGCTTAGCACAAGAATTTAAGGGTGTCCCATTCCTGATAAGCCGAGTGCAGAACACTTGACACGCATGTCTGCCGTTGTAGTGGGTATGCATTGACATCACTTCCCTGCCAGAACACGCCCAGTCACACAGGCTAAGTGACAAAACACGCTGTAACATGGTTGACTTTAGTGGTGGAAAATACAAAAAGTTTTAAACTGAAAGCAGTAGAACGACTTACCAAAGTACCAGTGAACCACGGACAATGCTACGTGGCCAGGAACCGGCTTTCCTGACCTTTGTATCAACTTTCTTTATCTATTTTCATTATTTCCATAGTTGTTGTCATAACACTTTAATTCCATTCCTTCAGCTAACTTGGCACGTCTTCCTCTATTCTCAGTAACATGCACCGGGGCTTGAGGAATCATATTTCCTTCCTTTACGTTGCACGATGTGTTGATTTATAGGGACAACAATAAAACATTTGAAATTGAATTGAATGATATATACCTGATGTCAACACTGTGGAAATATGCAAAGCGAAGCCTAAAGGAAGGTTCCCCGGTTCCGGTCAGCAGACTTCCCTGTTCCAACACACCTTATTCAGCTCACCAGCCAATTGCAAGAGTCAGTAGGTGTGTTTGAGTAGGGAATCTGCAAACTGTCCCAGACCGACCCCCCCGGACTAGAATTGAGGAACCCTGGTGTAATGGTTTACAAAAGCCTAGGTGCTCAGTCGTACCTCCAAGGTCGGGTTTTGACGACGAGATTAACGACGAGGACGCCAAAGGATATTCTGGCTGTATTTTGAAAAAATATTTCTATTATCACCTATTATTTGGCCAGAAATGACAAGTCCACGTTTTGCAGTCTAGATTTGGGTTGTTTCTGTGGATTGCAGCAATCCATTTACTTGTTGGCAATGTCTAAAAAGGTGGCTGCAATTTTTTGTACAATCAATCGTTCAGTTGCACAACTGCATGTGCATAGCACCAGCTGATCAGAGCCCCGCATGCCTTCAAAGAAGCTCCAATGTAAGCGTGCACTTGTATAACAAACAGAACCAGCGGCAGTGTTCACCAGCACTCACCACGCATCTGCAACAAACAGGGCCCTGAACACAGCCAACACAAATGGCAGCGTGGTAGTAGCCTGCCTCTTGTTCACCCTTACAGATACCAAGTATGTC